CACACTAATATATATATATATATATATATATATATATATAATTTACAAAATTTAATAAGAATTTTTTATTTATTTATATTTTCATACATAAACAAGTACAGCTAATTAATGTTCTATATTATCATTTATGTATATAAATTTTGAATTATTACTTTTATTTTTAACCACTCAAAATGTAAATTCTAAAAGGATAAATCAAATGGTGAAATGAAAGGTGAATGGTGGGCAACAAAGAAGAACATAGAGAAGGAGGCAAAAGAAGTGCAAGAGATAAAATAAAGGTTAAAAACTTAATTTAGTCCCTTATAATATTTTTTGTTTCAATTTAGCCCACTTTAATTTTTTGTTTCAATTTGGTCCCTAATAATTTAAATTAGTGCAATGTCAGATTTCTGTCCAAATTATTTAAACGGAGTTAACTATTGGTCACGTGGATGCCACATAGATGCATAGGTAGATGCCAAATTTCTTTTATGCACCTGGAACCAGAACGGCCTGTTCTGGTTGCACATGTTGTGTTAATTTTGCATATGGAACAGGTCGTTTCAGATGCAAAATTAACACACCACGAGTGCAGCAGAATGAGTCGTTCTGAAACAAGAACGGGTCGTTCTGGTTTTAAAACGGGCCGTTCAGGATTCAGAACGGGCCGTTCCAGAACGCCAACCACATACGTCCATTCAACAAAATGACATAATGTGGTTCAAAAACTGAAAATAAAAATTCATAACATAACATAAATTCAAAGACAAAAATATGGTTCAGAGACTGAAAACAAAAATTCATAACATAACATATACTAAGAAAGATCAAATAAATTACTGAGAAGGGAAATCATCTGGATAACGCTGAAAGTGCCAATAATACATCTTATCCACCATATAGCACTGAATGGCTGACAGGATATCAACATTATCTACCTGTACATGTGGTTGTGTGGTGAAATGTTGGTCCTATGTGTCCTCTTCCTCTATTTCAAGTTGTACCTCCTCAAGAACAGGTTGTTGTTGTTGGGATACATCGGTTAATGACTTCAAGGGAAAATACCATGTTGTTTCATCCTTGACTGTATAATGTCGATTTGGTAGTAAGTGGTTCACTCTAGTTTGACTAACAATGAAATAAAATCTGCCACCATTGTCTTTAGTGATACACTGTATTGTCCTTAATGATACACTGTATAGCCCAAATGTTTAGTAATTGAAGTTATCAATCCCTATTGACAATATATCCAAATCCAGTGTTTGAAATGTTTTGTACCTTGGGTCTTTTTCCTTGCACGTTTCACAACCGTGATTTAGTATCACGGGCGTGAACTATAATCATCGACCGTTTGTGTTTGACATTTTGGAACCAGAACGACCTGTTCTGTTTTCAAAACGGGCCGTTCTAGTTCTAGATGCATTAAAGAAATTTGACATCTACCTATGCATCTACGTGGCATCCATGTGACTAACAGTTAACTCCGTTTAAATAATTTGGATGGAAGTTCGACATTGCACTAATTTAAATTATTAGGGACTAAATTGAAACAAAAAATTAAAGTGGGACTAAATTGAAGAAAAAAAATATTGTAAAAGACTAAATTAAACTTTTAACCTAAAATAAATGAAGGGATAGAACATATGCAAATAATGAAATGAATGGAAGAAAAACATTAAATGCCATGTTCTATGTCGAAAAAAAAATGTTCTCTTTTGTGTTTATTTTAAATTATAAAAATTAAAAATAAGATAAATAAAATTATAAGACTAAAGAATATTTTAATCTTTTAAAACCTTCCATCAACGATCGAAAAAAAAAAAAAAAAAAAACATCAACATCATTCTTGATCACATCGCATAAAAAAAAATTAGAAGATATCAGCCTTGACATTGATCTTCACGATATTTAATTTAAAAAGTTGATAAAATAATTATTTTTGTAAAGTTGACTAGTATTTTGGCTCCTTCGCGAAAAAAAAAATATATAATTTATTTGTAAAAATAATTCTTCTGCTGAGGTGAAGGAGAAGAAGTACGGTAGCAGAAGTGAAGGTTTGGTTTTGATGGCAAGCGCAGGTTTATACCGCAGAGCACTCCCTTCTCCTGCAGTCGACTTTGCTTCCAAGGAGGGGAAGGTCAAGACTCAGCGCTCCTCTTCATCGTTCCAATTCCTCATTCCATTTATTCAATTCCTTTCTCTTTCTCTCTGCAGAACCTCTTCGCCGAAGCCCTTGCGCGAGGAACCCTCGAAGGCTTCTTCAAGTTGGTATCCTACTACCAGACGCAATCAGAGCCTGCCTACTGCGGCCTCGCCACTCTCTCCGTCGTCCTCAATGCCCTCGCCATCGACCCTGGACGCAAATGGAAAGGTCAAACTGTCAATGCTATCTTACATCTTCTTTCTTTTCACTCACTCACTCACTCACTCACTTCACAGGTCCTTGGAGATGGTTTGATGAGTCCATGTTGGATTGCTGCGAGCCTCTGACCAAGATTCAATCCCAAGGCATCACCTTTGGAAAAGTTGCGTGTTTGGCTCGATGCAATGGAGCTAAGGTGGAGGCCTTTCGATCTGATCAGAGCACCGTTGATGATTTTCGCCGCCGTGTCGTTTCGTGCTCTTCTTCTCAGGATTCTCACACCATTGTGTCTTACCACAGGACACCCCTCAATCAGGTGTTGTAAACTTCATTCATTCATGGCCATTAAACTCGTACTACCATAGCATCCTATTTATTTGCCATATTGTTGGGTAACAGACTGGAATTGGCCATTTTTCGCCGGTTGGAGGATATCATGCTGAGAGGGATATGGTCCTTGTATTGGATGTCGCTCGTTTCAAGTATCCTCCACATTGGGTTCCCCTTACCCTTCTCTGGGAAGCCATGTGCACCATTGATCAAGCAACCGGACTTCGTAGGGGGTAACACTAACATTAACATCTCTTGCACTGCTAATTAAAGCATAGTATTAATAGCTAATAGTGTGTTACTGTTAAGGGATGTAAGCAACTCATGTGGTACACACTTCATAGTTCATCCTTAATATGATTTGCATGAAGTTAATCCAATAATAAAGGATTGGTTGAAAAGAATGTACCATAGACTGTGTTGCTAGAATTATGTCTTTTGTGAAATTCTATGAAAATTAAAAAGCCCTTTACTATTATTTCCTTCAAATATGTTTCACTTTTCCTTTTGCCAAACTGATCTTTGTTGTATCTCGTGCGAGGATTGATTATTGCAAAATTGCGATATTTTACTAGTCATAAGATTTTCATATACTGTGATGTTATTTCTTTTGATTTAAGCTTATAAACCTTTTAAAAATGGTGGTGTCTCTTTCCATGTATGTTATGCTTCAAAGAGCTAAATTATTATTTATGCCCTAGTGTAACATTGTATTCACAATTAAAAAAGAAATCAGATTAGTAGAAGTCCAGAGAATAATTGTTAAAAATTGTTGAACATAATATTTGGTGATTTTCAAGTTTTGGTAAATGACTTTGATTCATCTACTATTGTGTATCTTCTGAGTCCTTTTCTTTTTTTGGACTTTTTAGGGTGATAGGTTTCATTGGAATCATGTCGTAGAACTTGTGAGGGAAATGGGTGGAAGTAAAAAATATCTTTACCTCATATCATACTATCATAGGCATAATAATGATTTGATTATATGCACTAAGCTTTTGTTTATCTATATATTCTATCCACATTTATTCAATTTGTAGTTATCTCCTGATGTAATTTTAAAAATTGTATTATTTGAATGCACGTGTCATCAAATCTTTCTAATTGCTATGAATTATGATTTCATGAACTCGTTTATTTTGATAAGCCTGTTCAACTAGTCTCGTTGCCCTCCATTTATATTTGGAAATTTGTATTACAGGTACATGGTTATTTCAAGGCTTAACAGAGCACCGTCTGTACTTTATACTGTGGTATTATGCTACTGGTTGATTCTTTATTGAACCATTGGAGAACATATATAAAATTTATAAAATCACGAGTTTTAAATAGAGTCTGACTCACTGTAAAATAATAATGGTAAGGTCAGCTAGAAAATAGTTTCTTGTCCTGAAATCATATTGAACAACAGAAAGTCTTAGCCATACATAGATCATGTTTAAAATATGGAGTGTCATTGGGTGGTCTGGATCCTTTTTCCCATGTTGGAACTGCAATGGTTGAACATATGTATTATTCTAAGTTAACAAAAACTCTATATTTTGATTGTATTTTATTTCTTATGCTGTGTAATCAATTTCTCCTTGTAGATTACACTATTACAGTAAATATTTTGGCTATCTGCAGAGTTGTAGACATGAAGGTTGGAGCAGTGTTGCCAAATTTCTAACTGAAGATGTCCCTCAACTTCTAAAGTCAGAGGATCTAAAAGACATTCAGGAAGTACTCTCTGTTGTTTTTAAATCTCCTCCTAGTGAATTGAGAGGGTTAATCACATGGATTGCTGAAGTTCGCAGACAAGAAGACGGGAATCTTACATTGAGTGAGGAGGAGAAAGGAAGGCTTGCTATCAAGGTTTTGACATTACTTCCTTTTTGTTTTGTGGGAAAAAAATTCACTCTTGAACATGTCAAATGTATCATATGCATAATTAGGAACTTCATCTCATTGAAGAAAAACCAATAAATGAATAATCATGATGTTTGAGAACTTTGAAATTTCAGGCTGACATACTGGAACAAATTCGGACAACTGCACTCTTCAAACATGTGACCAGGTGGTTGGATTCTGGAAGTTCATGTTGTAATACTATTGCAAGACTTGGTGACAAAGATATGTTACCAGCACTTGCCGCCAGTGTTTGTTGTGAAGGGGCAGATCTTTTGACTGGTTGTGGTAGGCTAGGCTTGTCAGGTGGAAAATGCTTTAGTCAAATAGATGTAAAACATCTGAATGTTGGTGGTCAAAATCCAGTAACATTAGTTTCAGGAACTGTTACAACTGGTGGCAGTAGTGAACAAGGAGTTGATGTGTTGGTCCCTTTGTGTCATAGGGAGCCTAGTAGGCTATGTCTTTCTAAGGGAGGTCACTGCATTGGAATGCACCCGTCCACTGCAGATGTCTTAACGGTGCTTTTATTGGCCTTGCCCTTGCATACGTGGTCGGGCATTAAAGAAGAAAAACTGCGTGTGGAAGTTTTGAGCCTTTTAACAACTGAAGATCTCCCTCCCCTACTTCAGGAAGAGGTAATGTCCATGTCTTTAGACTCAATTATCGAATCTTTCCTTTAATAAAATATATGAAGAACTACTAAAAGAAATTATTGACATGATAAAACTATGGACAACAAAGAAACAATATAACCTTCTATATGCCTACTTTATAAGAGGTGTTTGTTGGTAGCACTTGTCTATATGGCTATATGATGCTTTTATGCCAAAATGTGCCTATTTTAATTTCATGTTAAATATTTTAAGTATTTATTTTTTTAGTAATTTTCCCTATATGTTCTCGTCTTAAATTAAAGGGTGAATTACACTTTTCCTCATTTGAAAAATTTCATCCAAATTTAAAAACACCTTTTAATTCACCATGCTTCAAAAACAGAAACTTGACCTTCACTTGAACACTTTGAAGATTCAGAAATGCTGGAGTTGTTCATAATTTAGTTTAAATTGATAATAGACTTGGTCATCATCATTTACTATTTCAATGATATAAACATAAGGTGACATGTAACAGCATGAGAGGTGATAGAAGTTAGTCTTGGTCTATGAAAGGTCAAAAATGTTCTCAACTTCTCATCTTAGCTATTTTAATAATATAATAATGCATGTGTTTGGATTATTGTTTGCAAGGCACTAGACGTTTGCTCACATATCCCAAAGCTGAAAACAAAGAAGTAACAATGTAATATTGATGGATTGAAAAAAAATGTGGATTACATTCAACCTAATGTTACCCAAACACGCCCTAAAATACTTAGGTTGGTTTGGGTCATATTCAAGCATTTTCATGGAAAAACTTTACCTAACCAACCCAGTTAATAATGGGTTGATTTGGGCAGGTCTATCAGGCCAAAAGGTTAAATTATGTATTAATCTTTTTAAAATTGAAAATAATAATTAAAAATAAATAAACACAAAAAATTACAAATAAAAAAAATACATCAACGAGTTGGTGTTGGATTATCAAGTAGTTTAAAAATAAAATCCCAAACCTGAACCAAGGTTCATTAGGTTTGAATGAGTTGAGTCAGATTCCACCTAAACAACAAAAAATTTAATATCAAGGTGTTTGAGTCAGTTGGGGGTCATGAGTTATCCAAATTCGTGAACATCACTAGTACAAGAAACAGAAAAAATTTGGGAATGGGGTGAGAGAAACTTGGGTGACGTAAAAGAAAAGAGAGAAGTTTTGCTTTTTTTAATTTTTAAAATAAATTTAATTTACTAAATTAACCTTATTACCTAACTACTCAAGTGAAATACAGTTTTTTAATCCAAATGTTTTGGTATATGTTGCTAAAATAAGTAAACTAAAATTTAGGTTGACTCGTGTTAGCTAATCCCATATTTATATGCTAAAACTGCTTCTAAGCAAGAGCTAATAATCCATGTCCAATCCTCCAATTGAGATAAGGATTTGTGGTGATTTATTGTTGCTAATGCTTGTTAACATGTGCTATAGCTTTTTGGGAACAAAATTCAAATAGTTTACTATCAATTAGGCACTCGTTTGGTTTTAGATTTGTAAAGTTGTTTTTGAATCATTTAATGTGATTGAGATGTGTGGGTAAATTAATTTGAATCACATATTTGCATTGGAATATATATTTTTATTAAAAAGTGTGAGAATTGATTTTCTAACTACATGGATAAAGCACTTTATATGAAACCAAGTAACTCTTGTTCGTGTCCCTTCAAATGTGGTTATAGCCATTAGCCATAGAAATCTCATGCATGGAGTTGATACCATGGGTTCAATACTGTCACAGTGAATTCATAACGAACAAATGAAGAGAACTTAGTGGATTAGAGGAAATTATTATTATAACATTCCAATGTAATGACTAGGCTGATAAGCTGTTGATACTTACAAGTCATTCGTGAAACAGGTTTTGTTCCTGCGAGATCAACTCCATTTTCTCATGGCAGATATTAGAGCTCCTTCTCATTCATGATACTATTTATTGGTTTTGACTAATGTAACGGGTTCCTGTAATACGATGACATTATACAATGTTTTAGCACCAGGTATATCATTGAACTTTCAATTAGTACAGCATAAGCATTACTGTGGTGCCATATTGAACACTTCAAAAACCAACTGTAGTTTTACCATTGTGCAAGGAATTAGGACTGTACAAGGTAATTGAGCATGGAAAAAAAATAACATGCGGATTTGCATTATTTGTTGTTGAAAATGAGCTTAATCAATGGAATGTACTAAAGGGGTTGAAGGACCTGGCGATCTTTGTTCTTATATCTGATACTGAGTGTATTCTATTCTCTCATGTTTCTCACTTGGATAAATTTCGAGGGGATAAAACAAAAAATTTTTATGTGTTTGGTTTCCTTATTTCATTATACTATTGATCTGTTGACAATAAGTTTATGCATACATGTAGACTTGTTTGAATAATTTTTTTTTTTAGAAATAGGAGAGAAAAATAGAAAGAAAAATTAAAATAAACTTCTCTATAAATTAAAATTAGTTTATATATTAATTAAAAATAAGATTTTGGATAAGTTAATAGGAAATTTCTACGAACTAGTTTATATATAAGTTTTTTTTTCTTTTTTTTTTCTAGGCACTAGTTTATACATAAGTTAATTTTCGCTTATGAAGTTTATTTTGTTTTTTCTTCCTATTATTCTATTTTTTTCAATCACAGATTAGTTTCTATTTTTCTAAGTGCTTATGAGAAAGTTTATCCAAAAAGATTTTATATAATTTTGTTGATGTGATTCATTTTCTTAAACCAAATGATCATTTAGTCTGCTGTTGTGTTACAAGCTGTACTTAATGTTGGAATTAAGATGAATGTAGTTGCTCTTGACACGTGATAACTAGTTCCCATTTAGCAGTTTTTAAGTTCCATGCTAGTTGTGCTATCTTTTGGCAATTGGATCCACGCGATGATTGATACGAAACTGATGCCGACAGGTTTTATGACCATGCCTTTTTCATGAACTAGAACCACAATTTATGCGAGCCTTTTTCATGAACTAGAACCACAATTTATGCGATATTCTATAGCGTCAATTTTGTTTATTTAGTAGGTGCCTGCTTTTGTTTTTAATATAGTACTAATTGGTCGTACTCTCAATAATCCTTCATCAATATCCCAATAGCTGGTTAGAGGTGTGGGCTATAAAATAAGGGCGGTAGCCCGCATGAGAGGTCATATGGAATCAGGTTTTGCAGAGGGATGGCCCTATATACTTTTATTTTTAGCCTGTGCTTGCATTCACGAGAAGGATGGAACACATCAATTTGAAATAAAAATCCAATGACATCAGTTGTCACCTTTTTGTTGAGAATTTATTTCGCATTTATCACATTCAATATCTCTATTTTTGCTTCTTCTTATGGGGATAAATTTCTTCTTAAATTAAAATAAACACGTTTATAGATAAGTTATTTTATAAAAATTATTTTTTTATTAATTTTTCCAAAATTTTATTTTTAATTCTTACATAAAATAATTATACCTTGTGAAAAAATTATTTTGATTTTCTTTTTTATCTTTCTTTTTTAAAAGTGTTTCTGAAGCAGTCTATCCAAACAGACATTGAAAATAAAATATCATAATCCCTGAAATTAAGTGTTATTTTGTTCTCTTTAGCAATACCCTCTTTTATTTCTAATAAGCTAAATAATTTTATTATAAAATAAGTTGAACTTTGCACAAGAAATGCCAAGTGCTGAACAATCCAGTGGTATTTCATAGGATTTAAAAAAAAAATTAAGTAAAAAAGTCTGTTGGAATTTAATCAGATTTTATATCACTTAAAAATAATCTAATAGTATTTAATCTGAATTTTAAGATTTTTTAAAGAGTCCATTAAAATCTATTAGTATTCATTTGAGACATTTTACAACTTAAAAATAATCCATTGATATTAAAAAAATATATAAGGATTTTAAAAGATTGTTGTAATAGAGAGATTTTGAACAACTTTTTAATGGTATCTATAAATACCAAATTCATAAAACAATCTCATCTAAACTCATCAGAGTTTGGAAGATTGTTTGAAGTGACTTTTCAAGTGCTTCAAGAATTTTCAAGTAAGTTTTTCATCTTTTTTTATGCTCATGTCTTCTCCATTTTTTTCTACTAATAATATTGCACTACTGTTCATATATATATAATATATATATAAAAGATGAATTTGAGTTAGGGTTTAGTTGAATGATTTGGAGAAAGAACTTTCTCAGCACAAAAATTGCGATCTCGCTCCCTCCTTTGAATTTTCTACTATTATCTCTCATTCTTTTATGACTCAACAATTATTATTATTTTTAACTATATTTTTTTAAAATTTTATATTGTGAAATTAGGATTTTTATATTTTAAAAAATAAAATTAACATAAGACATTGTAATATATTAAAATTTAATACTAAAAATATTTTTTTGTGAGTGAATAATTGAAAGTAATTAAAAAATTAAAAAAAATATTTTATACTCGTAACAAATTTCAGTCATATTTTGTTATTCTCCTACTTAATGTTTGTAAATTTACAAGATATTTTAAATGAATAAAAGTGCATGAAAGAAAAATTTTCACTCAAATACCGATATAAAATGCAGGAACATATTTAGTTATAAGCGAGTAGGGCAACTGCCCCACTATTTTTTTAATCATTTATAAATTTATAAATAAAATATTTTAAATCACAAATTATAAACAATTTGAAGTGTTATTTAGAGTAATTTTTAGCATATGCAGTACTACATAACTTTCTTCATAAATAATGTTGTTCTAATAAATTGTTAATTAGAGCGGTGAACGAACCTTCATCTTCAACATTATCAATTAATGAAAATCATAATTTTTAGTCGATTATTCAAACCTAAGAGTAAGAGCGAAAATGCTTGGAAGACTAGTATAATTATGAATATGTGGGTAAATGTTATTTAGGAGGACATGATATTACGGAGAATTATTATTATTATTATTATTATTTATCCAGACATTATTATTTTTTTTAATTATTTTTGTCTTCAACTTTTTTAAATATAAATGTATGAAAAAAAATCTTGAACACTTATCGTATGTCAAAAATTCACAAAATTATGTAAAAATCATAAAATCTCGTAGAATCCATTAAAATCTTTACTTAAAAGTCATACACCATTAAAATCCTTATTTAAAATTTTGCAAAATCTTATAAAATATTAAAAATAATGAAAATCTTACAACATCTTTTAAAATTTACATGACATTTTTCAATTAAAAAATTCTTTAAAATCCTAATCCAATACACCCCATAAGCCCCATAAGCGATGAACTCTTCCATTTGATAACAATGTTGTGACATAGTTGCAAATCACGTGTTTTAATTGTCCGCCACTTCTTCAATTTGACCATATTTACATTGACGATAGAGGCATTTGCGTGTGCTTGGAATGAGTTTAATGGTTATGTCCTATTGATGGAAAATATTTACATTGTTGAACAGTCAAAACAATTATTAGTGTATATTTTAAATTCATATCTAAAATAATTTTTAATAGATTAATAATGTATATTTTAATATTAATGAACTCTTAAAATAATATTTTTACTTATATTTTAATATGTTTGTTTTAAATAATTATCCACTACATAAATATTATTTTTGGTTAAATACCTCTTGGTCCCTTATAACAATTTTTTGTTTTAATTTAGTTCTACTTTAATTTTAGGTCTCAATTTGGTCCTTAATAATTTAAATCATTGCAATTTAGGACTTCCGTCCAAATGATTTAAACGGGGTTAACTTCTGCTGGCGTGGATGCCACGTAGATGCATAGGTGGATGTCAAATGACATGAATACACCTGGAACCAGAACGGCCCGTTCTGCATGCACATGTTATGTGTTAGTTTTGCAAATGGAACGAACCGTTCCAAATGCAAATTTAACACAACATGAATGCAGCAGAACGGGCCGTTCTGCTGTTAGAACGGGCCGTTCTGAATTCAGAACGGCCCGTTCCAGAACGTGCTTTTATTGTATTTTTTTATTATATCTATATTAATAAAAATATAATAAATAAAAATACAATAAATTAATATTTATTTATGAATAAAACAAAAAAAAATCAAATAAGATAAGACCTTCCAAAATCTTTCTTTGATTTGAATTTATCTAATTCAAAATCTTGACCAAAATGCCGCAATGTGATTCAAAATTTGAAAATAAAAATTCATAATATATCATAAATTCAAAAACAGAAACATGGTTCAGAAACTGAAAACAAAAATTCAGAACATAACATATACTAAAAAAGTTCAAAGAAATTATTTCACTCTAGTTTGACTAACAATGAAATAAAACTTGTTATCATTGTCCTTAGTGATATACTGCATCATCCTTAATGATACAATGTATAGCCCAAATGTTTAGCAATTGAAGTTATCAATCCTCATTAACAATAGGCTTAAATATATTTTTAGTCATTCAAATTTAAGGTAAATCTGTTTTTTGTCCCTCAAGTTTAAAATTGTTTTTAGTCCCTGTAATTTCAAAAAATCTTATTTTAGTCCTTATATTCAAATTTTGTTAAGAAAATTATCAAATATTATTGCATAAAATCTACCTATTGATGTCCCTATTAGTGAAAATATCACATTAAATCCAGTTGATATTGCATAATTGTTTTAATTAATCACTTTCAAATATATTATTGGTGACCTAAGGGATTAAAACAAGATTTTTGAAAATTACAGGGACTAAAAACAACAGTTTTAAATTTGAGGGACCAAAAACAAATTTATCTTAAATTTGAGGGACTAAAAACATATTTAAGCCTTAACAATATTACCAAGTCTAGTGTTTGAAATGCTTTGTACTGTATTTTTTTGTGCACGAAATTCTGGAATCAGAACGGCCTGTTCTGGTTACACTGTTGGTGTGTTAATTTTTCAACTGGAACGACCCGTTTCAGGTACAAAATTTACACATCATTAGTATAACCAGAACGGGCCGTTCTGGTTTCAGAACGGACCGTTCTGGTTCCAGGTGTCTTCAAGTATTTTGAGATCCACCTACGTGGCATTTACGTGGCATCCATGTGACCACTAGTTAACTCCGTTTAAATCATTTAGACGGAAGTCCCAAATTGCAATGATTTAAATTATTGGGGACCAAATTAAGACCTAAAATTAAAGTGAGACTAAATTGAAACAAAAAGTTGTTATCAAGGATAAAAAGAGGTATTTAACCTATTATTTTTCAAGCAAAACGACGGCGACAGTGTAATCTTATAGCGACAAA